TTTCTATAAATGACATAAAAGCAAATTCTGTTCTTCCAGCCTAAAATTTCAGAAATGTTGGTAGTGATGTTTTTGCAAGTTTACACTAGCAAATTCCATGAAGACTTGCATGCTCTGTGTCACTAGATTGTAGAGTTAAAAAATGTAAGTTGTGAGCATATGGAGTCAAAACTTCTCCGAATCTTTGAACGTTATACTACTGATTACTGTGTGGCCTTTATCTTCCTGAGATTCCAGAACAAATATAAGAACTCCAAGTAATGTAATATATTTTACTTCTAACTTGGGTTTTATATACAAATCTCTGCCTTTACCATGGTAAGCTATGTTGGATTAGCTGGGAATGTATGAGGATATCTTCTTTTTCCCCATATTCAGAATATAAGTATGAATGTCACTGCCTTTCCCAAAATTACTGCCTCCCAAGGAAGAGACAAACTAGGTCTTTGATTAAGGTAAATTGTGAATTACAGAGTAATTTGAAGGAGAAAGAATCCACAGAGGAAATACAAGTTCAAAGAAGTTACCTTCAATGAAGCTTTTTTAATTCTTTGTTATTCTTAAAATGCTGTTCCTTAATTTGTCATATGAATCACTGTCCCAATTTCAGGTGCTCAGTCCATATAACTACTTTTGATTTGTAGAGAAGTAAGGGTAGGGTTGATACAGGAATGAGTCCAATTTTCAAATTTTTAAATACAAATTCTTTGAGCTGCTTCTTAAAAATTTATATTTTGACCTCTTGTGCCTATATGTTCTGATTTCTATATATGGATGAAATTGGAAAAAATGCATTTTAGCAAATGTTATGGATAATTTCAGTACAGGTAATATAAGGACCACATTTTTACAGACACTAATCTTGACTTAAAAGTCTGCCAAAACCTCAATATTAATTCTTATTATAGATCACCAAGTGATGTCAGTAACTATCAGTCCCTCAGAACTTTCAGTTGAAGGAGTTAAGGAAATAGAAAAGTTCTGCTTGTATGTTTTTGAGATGACTTTATAATTCTTGCCACTCTTATATCAACACTTGGATGGAGTGTTCAGTCCTTTCAAATGTTTCCTAAGAATGTTTTTCATACTAGTTCCAGAGCTAGTACAGCAATTGTGATTGCAGTGTTAGTTTAGTTTTATTCCTAAGTCATGTTATAAGTAATAAAGATCCAGGGACAAAATAACCAAAGTTGGCCTTGATAAACTTCCACTTATCCCTGGCTTTCCAGAAGATTATGTGTTTGTGTAAGGCTCTGTGTATGTTTCTAGAGAGATTCCTGTCAAGCACTAATTTATGTCTCAACGTGAAGCTCTATGAAGGCAGTCAATGAAATATAGGAAGACTTATAAACTGGATAAACTTTGATTCCTTAAGCCATGCATAGACCCATTGACAGAAGATAGAAACCTTCCTGGCTAACTCTGACTAGTCATTTTCTGGCCACTAAGCCATGCTAAACCAGGCCTAAAACTAGAAAGTTTTTTTTTTTTTTAAAGAGCAAGGGAAGCTTAGCGTGGTGGTGCTTGCCTGTAATCCCAGCACTCAGGAGGCTGAGGCAGGCAGTTCCTTGCAAATTCGAGACAAAGTAAGCCTGGGCTACAAAGTAAGCTCTAGCCTGAAGTGCAAAAAGAGACCCTGCCTCAAAGTAAATAAATAAATAAATATAGATGGATAGATAGATAGATAGATAGATAGATAGATAGATAAAAAAAGAAACAAGGGATGCCAGCAATAGCACAATGTAAGGGAACCATAGTCCACAGCATCAGGCCAGGCAAGACTTAAACTAAGAGTAATAATAATGATACACCTGATAGGCAGATCAGAATAGAGATGCTTTGTTTTACCCAAAATATCTAATTTTCAAAAAAAATTGAGGTATTTAAAAAATACAACAGAATGATTCATATACATGAAAACTAAATCTTTGGAAACTATCTCAGGGAAGGCCAGGTGTTGGGTTCAGCAGACTTTCAACGGGCTATGTTTAGAGAATTAAAGGGAACCATTTTCAAAGTAATAAAGGAAAGTATAATAGCAAAAACTCATCAAATAGATAATATAAATTATTTCTCTTATATTTTTCTCAGTAAAAAATTATGCTTAGGGCGGGGCTGGGGATTTAGCTCAGTGGCATAAGTGCCTGCCTTGCAAGCAGGCAGTTGTGAGTTCAATCGCTGGTACCGCTAAAAAAGAAAAAGACAAAAAAAAAATTATGCTTAGGGCTAAATGTGATCTCACAGGCTGCTATACCCCATATTGATTTGCCACTGATTATAGCAGATTTTAAATGTCTTTCTGCAGAAAATGCAGAATAAGAAAATACAGCATTTGTTATTTCATCTTCTAAATATCATCCTATTCATGTTAACTTCCCTCGTGTCCTATATCACCCTTGTGTATGAAACTCATGGAAGGAAGTATTTTATCAACAAGTTACATGACTTTTCAGCTTTAGTACTTTGGATGTTAGGAGATGGCATGTGGAAAAAATATACTATTCCTATAGATTTCTTTGTCACTTTCAATTGGTTGTTTTCTAAAATATTTTAGACTTTTTATGACAACTCTACCAATTTCTGTGACCCTGGGAATTTTTTAGTATTTTCTATATATAGTTCAAATTTCTTTTGTTTTGAGAATGTTTAAAATCCCTACATTGTTACACATTTCTGTCATCAGTATCCTATTTGAGCATTAATCCTGATTTTAAAGACAAGGGGAATTTCATACAATTGAGAGCTGGCTACAAAAAGAGACAAAGAAGAATGAAAATAATTTAAAATTTGTGTTTAGACTACAGTCTGATCTTTCACAACTATTAAGCTAAAATTTTAGTAACTTTATTTTGTATAACTAATTACTGACAAAAACTGTTTTCCATTTGCTTTGCGTATTTTTCAGGATATGAGTAATAGGAATATACCAATAGAGTGTTCAGATTTTGAAATCACAAAAATCTCCATCTGAAAAATACAACTTTTGGCTTCACATTTTAAGTAATACAGAATTGACTGTAGTTTCCATCTCCTCACCATTAGTCACTAAATGATCAATTTGATGAATCTGTCAAGATGTAATAAATAGACAAAAAGATGCCCTTACTATTAACCAATAGAATGAAAAAAGCTAATATGTAAACTTTAAATCTCTTTAGTAAATTTTTAAGTGAAAAAATATTGCTTAATTCTAACTTGAATTCATTCAACTCTGGTAATTCACATATCATAGAAACACTTTTATTAATATTTAATATTAATATTTAGTATTTCTTTTTAAAACTTTTTTCTAGAAACTTTTTTGATATAAATCTTTGAGTTGCTATATACTTAAGTAGCTTTTCATGGTATTATAACATTCTAGTTTAGGAGTCTAGGAAAGTTTCTGATTACTAGAAAAGGGTAGTATTCATCTTTTAAAATAAAAACGCAATCTTAGTGATTAGAACAATCTTAATATGAATGCATGTTACCCGAAGAGTACCAGGACATGTCTATACCAACTTGAACCCCCTTCAAAGAATACTAGTTAACAACCAGAGTTCTTCCATGACTAGCAATTCTTTTTAAACTAATTTAACTTTTTAAATAGGGCATGAAAAACAGTAAATATAAATTTTAGCTTTCCTGCCACCATTTTAAATCGAGCTCCATACAACACTGCTGCTGCCAGCATCTCCACAACCTGGACCGTGTGTCCACCTGCCCCTGCCGACGACTCTGCCACCATGGAGAACATGAATGATGTAGCAATACAGAGGAGTTTGCTGAGGGGTCCAGTATCAATGTGAGCACGAACCAGCATAATGACAGGAAAATGTTTATTGGAGGCTTGTGCAGAGATACAAGCAAGAAAGATCTGACTGAATATTTGTCTCTATTTGGGGAAGTTATAGGCTGCACAATTAAAACAGATCCAGTCAGTGGAAGATCAAGAGGATTTAATAGTTTTCAAAGATGCTGCTACCACTGACAAGGTTTTGGAACTAAACACAAACTGGATGGCAAATTGATAGACCTCAAAAGGGTCAAAGATTGGGAAAGAACCCTCTAAAAAGGTATTGGGGAGCCAGATATTTCTGAAGAACAAATTAAAGCATATTTTGGGGGCTTTGGAGAGATTGAAACTACTGAACTTCCCAGGGATACAAAAACAAATGAAAGGAGATTTCGTTTTATCACATACACAGATGAAGAGCTAGTTAAGAAATTGTTAGAATGCAGACACCATCACACTGGTTCTGGGAGGTGTGAAATCAGAGTTGCACAAGCCAAAGAGGTAAATTGGCAGCAACAGAGCAACAAAAAAGGAGGAAAAGGCACCGGAACTGGGGGCCAAGGTGGTACTAGAGGTCATGGCATGGAGGTGGCAGACAATAAGTGCTGTTATCATCACCTGTGCTCTCCTGACTTGCCAGCACCTTCAGACTGCTGCAGGGCAGACTGGACCCTGATTCCTGAGCCTTGGGCAGGTCAGGAACCCTCTCTGAGCCTCCACCCCATCCTCCCTCCCTAAGAGGAAGTCATAGTGCTTGAACTTTCCTGGCTTACCTCTGATGCCCTTGGAGGCCAGGGGAAACTCATTTCATAGAGGAGAAATTCCCTGGGGCAGGGAGTAACTGGTCCAATTCACAGCACAGTTGGTCTTTTTTGAACCAGGCTACCTCTGGGGAGCTACTGAGCACCTGTCTGCCCAATTCTGCCTTCAGGAATGTGTGTGCACGTGTGTGTGTGTGAGCAGCACAAGGGACTCAGCAAGGTAGGGTCCCTCGCTTCCACACCTTTGCATGCTCTGCCACTTCTGGTCTGAATGCCTCAGCCTTCAGACTTCTTACAGCCAGCCCCTCCCTACACCCTGGAAGAATGCACACTGGGAAAGAATGCACCCAGGTTCTTAGATGCTGAAGGTGAGGCTGTGTGAGAGGAAATGATTCTACCGAGGAGACACACGGTACAAAGCTGAGCACCCAGGCCTGCCCCAAAGCCTCCCCAGCCTCAGAGCCCCACCTCTGCCCCCTCCTCCCTCTCAGTGCTGGATTCCATCTAATAATAAGCACCAACATGGAGTAACTTCTTAGCAGGGGCTTTGCACAGTGGTTATGGGAGCCAGACAGCCAAGACTTTAATCTTCACTTGGTCACGTGGAAAAGTTTCTTATCAAGGCCTCGGTTTGCTCAGAAGTAATATGTGGAAAACTGTGATAGTTTTCTGCTACGGCTACAAATACCTAAGATGATTAACTTGTGAAAAAAGGAATATTTCTTTCCACCTTCCCCCTCATCCCATGGCTAGGGAGTAAGAAGAAAAGAGGATTCTCTCCAAGGGTCACCTCCAATGACCTGTGGCTTCTCACAACCTAACACAGCAATGACAGTACCTGCCTTTATCGGGTTGTTATGAGGATTAACTGAGCTTGTATGTCCAGTGCTTGGCAATGCTGTGTAAGTGCTGTCTGCTGTGATCCTTGTCACCATAATTACCATTATCTTCCCTTCTTTAACCTTACATGACTTGGCCTCCCCTCTGAAGAAGAATAGGCAACTCAGAGGCCGGCCTGACATGTGCTCAGCCTCTGGGTCCCTCCTCTGCCCAGTCTTGCCATGGAATCTGCCCTATGAAAGCTGCCTGCCCACCTCCTTCTTCTTCTTCTGCCTGGAGGGTCTTCTGCCTGGAGGGTCTGAGGTTGATTCCCCCTGCTGGCCCTGTGCTCACTTTGCCACTTCTTCACTCGGTGGACTGGAGTCTGTGGCTTCATTTGTCCTAACATCAGTTCTTTCCTGTATAAATTTGGAAGGCTCCTCCTTCTGGCCATTTGTGGAGGTTAAATGCATTAGGGCATATAAAGTGCTCGGTGCAGTGTCAAATAAATGTCAACTCCATGCCGTCTCCCATGCTAGTGGTCCTGACCCCAGATCAATTGAGATTAACCTTGACCTCTGACCTTTGATCCTACTTGTGCCTTGCAGATTGGAGCATCTCTGATGTCCAGCAATGTGGGCAGTGGCTTGTTCATCGGCCTGGCTGGCACAGGGGCTGCTGGGGGCCTCGCTGTGGGTGGCTTTGAGTGGAATGTAAGGAAACTCTCATGGCTGCTCCCTCCCCAACCTTAGTGTTGGGATAATCCTTAGAGGAATTTGGGAGGCTGCCTGGTGAATGGGAACTCATCACACAGATGAGGAAAACAAGAGCTGGAGGAGGTGGATGGGTCCCTCCCTTTCCTACTGAAGGATCTCGCACAGTACTCAATAGCTGTAGGAGGCTTCTCTCTGACGTTGTCCGAAATCTCATTACCTTCTTCTTATTTTCTCAGGCAACCTTCCTGCTTGTGGCCCTTGGTTGGATCTTTGTCCCTGTGTACATTGCAGCTGGTGTGGTCACTACGCCACAGTACCTCAAGAAGCGATTTGGGGGTGAAAGGATCCAGGTGTATATGTCTGTCCTGTCTCTCATCCTCTACATCTTCACCAAGATATCGGTGGGTATCACTCCAAGGGGTCTGCTTGTCTCTGTGTATTGCCACGGGCTTGAGGCTGACAGGCAGCTCACATTCACAGTTTGGATGGATGGGTGAATGGGAAGATGGAAGGGAGGGAGGAAAGGATGATAAAGGAAAGGTGGAAGGGAGGAAGAGGGGTAGATGGATGGCTGGAGAGAGAAGGAAGGATAAAAGAAGAGGAGGCTACATCCACTCACTTTCATTGTGTGCTCCCTTTGGCACTGGGACAATCAGAGAAGAACGATAAATGTTTTAAGTGCATGACAGCTCTTCTTAAAAAAACAAAGATCACAATCTAGAGTTCATGCTCATTTATCTTTATATTAGTTGGTTCTTCATCAGCAACTATTCACTCAGTGTTAGTTAAAAGAGCTTAATGGGTCCGGTCTGCTTGCAGACTGACATCTTCTCTGGAGCCCTCTTCATCCAGATGGCTTTGGGCTGGAACCTCTACCTCTCCACAGGGATCCTGCTCGTGGTGACAGCTATCTACACCATCACAGGTAGGGCCGAACCTGAACATCAGAAAAAGCTAGAGAGGGAAGCTTCTGACTGGTAGACAGAGAGAAAGATTGAAAGATGGACAACCTGAGTGGGACAGAGAAGATCTGTCCTGAGAGAGAGATAGAGAAGAGAAAGACAGTCAACTGGGGCCAAGGCAATGATACAGGAAATCAAAAAACCAGGGAACAAACTGTGGGACACAGTGGTATAGGAAAAGGGAGAGGAAAGGGGCAGAAATGGGGAATCCATACCAGACTGAGACCAGGAGAGATGTGAAGAGGCACTAGAAAAGACCACCTGCCCCACGGAGAGATTAGGAAGCTGTTGTCTGGGCCAGAGTTATGGTGAGCTGCCCCAGCAAATGCAGACAGGCCCACACTGTTTCCTCCAAAAGGTGTCACACAGGACGGGCACCTTGGGTCACCAGCATGGGACAAACAGACTTACTTAGGACTATGTTAGCCTTGAAAGCTGGGGGCATTTGGATAGACACCAGTTGGGAGGAGAAAGAATCAAGCATCCCTGGTTGAGCTAACAGCATAAGCAAAGGACAGGATTTGGGTCACTGATGACAGAAACCAAAAGCCATGGCATGATGGCTGTGGCAAGATACTGCCAGAGACAGGAAGAGCCACATGAACACACTGAAGTGTGGCCAGGCTCTGTCCTTCTGAGTGGGGTGCTTGGAAGTGCTAGATATAGAGAAATGCAGGTGACCAGAGCCACTGCTAAGAAGCCACTGTGTCTTCCCTGGCCTGCTCAGTGTAACCAGACACAGAGCAGGACCGATGTTGGTGCTGACTGATGTGCCCTCTCTTTGGATCACTAGGGGGCCTCACGGCCATGATCTACACAGATGCTCTGCAGACAGTGATCATGGTAGGGGGAGCCCTAGTCCTCATGTTTCTAGGTAAGAAAGAGACCTAAATTCACTCACCATCAGCTTTAAATTCTTCCTCTGATTTATTTTTGGCACCTCAATGGCTTACCTGGAACTTTCCTGATCATAGAGTCACGCCCTGTCTCCAAGTCACGGCTCCCAAAAGGCAGAATTCTCCCTACTTCAAACCAAAAGTCTTGAGCCTGAGCCCCATCTCCCTTCCTATCCCCAATCTTCAAGTGGGCTCCAACCTAGAGCCCCACGTGGGGCTGGGCACACAGGCTGGGTGGGTCCCAGGGATGTTCTCTCACTGCATCTCTTCCCACAGGCTTTCAGCAGGTAGGCTGGTACCCAGGCCTGCAGCAGCTCTACAGCCAGGCCCTTCCTAATGTCACAGTCCCCAACACCACTTGTCACCTCCCACGGCCAGATGCCTTCCACATGCTTCGTGACCCCGTGAGCGGGGACATTCCCTGGCCAGGGCTCATTTTTGGGCTCACAGTACTGGCTACCTGGTGTTGGTGCACAGATCAGGTACGGTGACCAACAGACGTGGCCTGGCCCACCAGGAAGTGGGGTGGCTTCCTGCAGACAAAGTAGGCATTTGGATGCATAAAATGTGAGCTTAATTTTGAGACTGGAGTAGGGGGACAGTCAGAGACCAAGGTCAGGGCTCACCTGTGGCTGAGCTGAGCTCCTTCCCTGGACCTGGATCAACATCACTCCATTGCTTCTGCCATTCCAGGTCATTGTGCAGAGGTCTCTGTCTGCCAAGAATCTGTCCCATGCCAAGGGAGGCTCAGTGCTGGGGGGCTACCTGAAAATCCTCCCCATGTTCTTCATCGTCATGCCTGGCATGATCAGCAGGGCCCTGTACCCAGGTGAAACTGAGCCTTCTGTCTGGGCCTGGGGAGTCAGGACTTGGGAGGGGTTTCCAGAGAAGGTGTTCCTGGGCAGGGTGGACCAGGGAAGCAAGCTTTTTCTATGAAGATCTCATTCCAAGCATTTAGAACTTAAAGGCCATTAAATAAGTATTTCAACAGAGTAAATTCAATGTTATTTCAAAATCCTCCTTCCTCTTAAAAGAAAGCAAGGCATTCTTGACCCCTTCCAAGAATATTTACTTTTATCAATGTATGTCATAAAACTCAAAAGAATCTATCCCATGTTGCAGAGCAGTATGCATCACAGACAAGAAATTCACCAAAGAGCCAAACTACTTGCCCATTGACCTTTTAGACAAGGTCAGCATTTCCGGTGAAAAATTTCCTGTAGTGTCAGAAAGCAAATATTGGGCCATCCTGAGAGGGGCAGGATCACAGCTCCAACTACTGCGCTGTCTTCTGCAGATGAGGTGGGCTGTGTGGATCCTGATGTCTGCCAAAGAGTGTGTGGGGCCCGCGTGGGATGTTCCAACATCGCCTATCCCAAGCTGGTCATGGCTCTCATGCCCATAGGTGAGTCCCATCTTGCACACTCCACTGTCTACTCCCACCTGGACCCCTCTGATGAGGAATTGTGCTACGGATGGAAGGGAAGAGGGAAGAGTTTCTGTACCCTGCATGTTACACACACACACACACACACACACACACACACACACACACAATCACACTTTCCCAAGCCTTTGTAAGGTGTCTGTTTTTGCCTGGTGTTGAAGACGTGGAGGGAAGAGGCAGATCCAAGCCCTCAGACTTCACGCAGTGTCTAAGGTGCCTGTGCTCAGTAAGGTACCTTACAGTGAAAGGTAACTTGGAAGTAAGGGCACAGCACAGGAAAAAAGCAGAGCAGAAGCCCAAAGAGCATTTCACACAGAGCCAGAGGGCCTAGAACATGTTCTAAGCAGGAGGTGTTGTGAGTGCCAACACCCAGGAGTGACAGCCGAATGAGAGGAGCCCAGTGTGAATGCAGTGGCAAGGAGCAATGAAGATGCCCAGCCTTGTTCTGCAATGGATTCTTCTCTCTGGGGACAGTAGAGGGCACTGAGGGTGGAGGCCAGAGCAAGACGGTGGATTTGTGCTTCAGAAGAACCACTCTGATGGAGGACTCAGCAAAGGTACAGGCTCTGGCAGGACAGGGGTGCATCAGGGAGATGTCTGCAGGTGGCCAGGGGCGTGGCACTGGTGGTTTCACCAAGGGATTGACCTTAGAGATGGAGACAAGGTATTTAAAGATGTGTGTGAAGCTGTTAGCAGGATTGGGTTTACTGTATTTCAGGGGGCAGACGAGTCAAAGCAGGCTCCTGGGCCTCCACCTTAGAAGGCAGGTTTACAACACTATTAAGATTCAGGAGATGAAAGGCAACAGATGAGTGGGCCCATTCCCTCCTTATGGTAAAATGAGAAGTAAATCAAAGATACAGTGGAGATGGTGGGAGGCCAAGCTAGACAGACCAGTCTCAGAAGTGAGACCGAAGAAGGATGGGGAGAGGGGAGAGCCAAGGAAGGGGCCTAGGGTCCAGGGTTCTGCTGGGAGCCGGGAGGCTTTAGTAACCGAGAGGGAGGCAGAAGGCCATAGGAAGGTGAGCACTTGTGTCTAGAACCTGAGTCCAAGATAGCTGTGAGGCTTCCAGCGTGACACTCAGGATGTGGTTAGATACATGGACTTTGGGGTAAAGAGGCTGAAGCGGGACCGGGGCAGGAAGGCATCTGTCCAGGTGAAAAGCAGGCCCAGAACATGCATGAAATGCATCCAAAGATCATCCACCTAGCGGGTTATTGCACAGCCAGGAAATAGCCCCAAGCTTCTGCTTCCTTGTAGGACTTTAGCCGGACATTGCAAAGCGGTGGAACAAAACCCTGAAAAATGAGAAAGAGACACAAGGGCCAGGGATATAATTCAGTAGCACCACGCTTGTCTGGCAAGCACAAGGTCCTGAGTTTGATTCCCAGTATGAGAGAGATAGATCGGAGTGGGGGTGGGGCGGAGAAAGAGAATACAAAAGAAGAAAAATTTTTAAAAGGCACTTGCATGGCCTCCCTCCTCAGCTCCAAGACTCCGCTGATGGTCACTTGCTGTGAAGACAGACTTCGTTTTCAGAACTGCAGGAACCCTCACAGATCACTCAGTATCCTACACTCATGGTGCAGATGAGGACACTGAGGCCTGGCAGGGCTGTGAGCTGTCCAAGGCCACAAGGCAAGGGAGAGGCAAAACACGGCCAGAAACTGGCCAGGAGCTTTACAGGCTCCTGATTCCTTGTCTGTACTAGAAAGGAACCGTTTCCCCACCAGCCCAGCCCAAAGTCCTGGCTCTGCAGCAGCAGCCCCGCCCAGGCGGAGCTGGTCTTTAAGACCTGCTGTCTCTCATACCTTGTGTTGCTTACTTTGCTCTCATTGCGGGGACAAAATACCTGACACCCAAAATTAGGGAAGGCAAAGTTTATTTAGCTCACAGCTGGTGGATATTAAGAGTCTGTAACCAGCTGGCCCCAAGGCAGGGTGGCAAGGCACAGGGGCAGCACTTCAGGGTGGCACTAGACAGCAAAGCAGCAAGAGAAGACAGGAGGAAGACAAAGACTGTTTTCCTTCCTCATGTTCTACGCAGGGCACCCCACCCAGGGCAGGTGTAGCACTGTGAGTCACAGAATTTCCTTGTCCTCCTCTTGCACACGATGAGGATGTTTACAAAATAAAGACCCTTCTAAGCTTCTCAAGTTGGCACAACGTATCAACCATAACACACGTCGTCTCTTGCCAGGTCTGCGGGGCCTGATGATCGCAGTGATCATGGCGGCCCTCATGAGCTCCCTCACCTCCATCTTCAACAGCAGCAGCACCCTGTTCGCCATCGACGTGTGGCAGCGTTTCCGCAGGAGGGCCACAGAGCAGGAGCTGATGGTGGTGGGCAGGTGTGTGCGCCAGGCCTTGCATCTCCCGGGGGCGGGGGCTCCCCTCTGCTTTCCCCTCTGCCCGCCCTGGGTTGCCCAGGAGAGGGGCTGGGGTTGGGCCTGAAGCAGCACCCAGGGCACTGCATGACCTCAGCCGCGCTCTGCCTCCAGAACACTCCTCCCCTGCAGAATAACAGGGAGAAGGCACTCTTGCCCGGCTTTGCACTCTCCCTTGCACTGCATCAGTGGGGTGATTGAGAGATGACAGAGCACTTGAGAAGTGAGAGGTGAAGAGTGTGAGTCGGAGGAAAGGAACTCACCCCGGGGCCTTTTGGGTCAACTCTTCCTGCCACCCCAGGATAATGGCGGTGTTTAATCCAATCCCTCAGGCTCACTCCAGATACACACCTCGGGCCACATCCTTGTGCTAGGAACCAGGAGAACCGGGGGAGGTTCATATCCTGATGAGCAGGACAGAAATGGGCATGTTACACAGCATTAGCACGGCACCTGCCTCAAGGGAGATGGTCACAGCGAAGTTGTCTCCAAATGATGCAGAGCCTTGAATGTTGCATGATAAAACTTGAACTGTACCTTGTAGGTATTAGTTACTCTTTTAAAATCATAACTGAGCAGTTAATTTGTCTTATTCTCCATAGGCTGGGAATTTAGAGTCTGTGTAGAGCTACAAAGGTCTTTGTAGGATCTCTGCCTCATAGTTTAAGGCTCCCTACTCAGGCCTCTAACTAAGGCTATGCACTCTTGTTTTGACGGGTAGGAACTGAGCTCAGTCAGTTTGCTCTTGGAGTCTCCCTGCCTCTGCATTTGCCATTCCTATCATCTGGTGCCTTCTGCTGCCTGTTCATCTCTGCAGCCCAGCCCTAGCCACGAGCAGCGAGCCCCTGAGATCTTAGAGTAGGACAAGAGGAAGTTGAGACACATGGGTAATTGCTGCTTTCTTGGAGCCTGAGAGAGGAAAAATAGGGGAAAAGAAGTGAGGACAAGTGTGCAGAGATTTAGGCACGTGTATCAGCAATCAATGCGATTCGGGCGCCATCTCCTGGCAATATGTATTATTGCATCCAGCACGTCCGAGAAAAAAAATGTTTCAAAACAAATTGTGCGTCTCCAAATTCACACCTCCAGCGCCCTTTGGTGATTTAAGGCCGAGTAAGGATCAGTTTAAGTGGATCGAGCGAGAAGGTAGGAAAGGTCTGAGCTGAAGGAGCCTGGGGAAGGGAGAAGTCCCAGGACTGGGACCATAAAGGGACTGTGTCCTTCAACAGCCTGGAGGTCAGAGGAGGAAATACATCCCCAAGCAAGGCTGAAGGCCTTTTCCTAGGTCGAGTGCAGTGAAGCTGTGGGTTAGGGTGGACGGCATGATCGCCAAGAGTCCGGTACGCACATAACAAGTCTAAGTCTGTAGAATTCTGACTGTCTCACATTCAGAAATTCTGATTTCTGGAGTGTTGACAGTCGGAACTTCTGCGCCTGCACCATAGTATTTGGGATTATGACTTTCTTGCTTGTGACCCAGAGGCCTCTCTTGTCCCTTCTGGTTCCCACGCATCACCTTCAGGACACCCTGTGCCGTGTGCCACGCCACAACCCCCTGGCACCTGTGCTCTCCTGCAGGGTGTTTGTGGTGTTCCTGGTGGTCGTCAGCATCCTCTGGATCCCCATCATCCAGAGCTCCAGCAGCGGGCAGCTCTTCGACTACATCCAGTCTGTCACTAGCTACCTGGCACCGCCCGTCACTGCCCTCTTCCTGCTGGCCATCTTCTGCAGGAGAGTCACAGAGCCTGTGAGTGAAGCCTTTCCATCTCTTGCCCCCAGCTAAGGTTCTGGAGTCCTGCTCTGTCCCTCACCTGGTCTCCATCTGTGGGAGCAAATCCACAGCCCGCTCTAGGATTCCATCCTCCTGACCCTAGAGTCAGGCCTGGATTCATTCACTCACACAGAAAACACTGAGCAATGGGATTATGGCCACTCGGGGGGTACAGTGGTTTACAACATTCACATAGGTCTGTCATGGCTGGGCCCTCAGAATCGAGAGATGATTAAGTAACCAATAATGATAAAGCAAAACGGCTACTGGGAGATTGAAATGCACAAATTCTAACTTACGAGTTTCCTGGAGTGAGGTCAGGGAAGGCTTCCTGGAGGAAATGGCATCTGAGCTGAGACCTGCAGGGCTAATGGCAGGAGGAGAGTGCTCCACACAAGAGGAGCATTCATGTGAAAGTGCAGGACAGACCAGAGGCCTCTGACTCTGTAGTGGTCTATATATAAATCAAATAATAGAGTGAGAATGTTGTTCGATACCCACACCAAACACAACAACAACAACAACAACAACCAAAAAACAGAAGGAGGATGCTGATGACCAAGTGTGAACTCTCACAGGGGTTGGCCCCACACGCACCATTCACACAACTGCCCTGAAACTGACAGAAGCCTTAGAGGAAGCTAGAAGACCAGAGACTTTCTTATTTCTCAGGATAGACTAACTCAATCTGCTGGCTGTACCTTGGGACATCAAAGTAGTCTCTGGACTGATGTGAAAATTCGCAAGACCGATGTCAAGGTCATTGCGGAGGGGATCTTAGAGATTCCCCCTGGACAGCCTGGGTAGGTGACGTGTCATGTTTGCAGAATCTAATCTGAGTATGTGAGGTGTCTCCTGTTTGCAGGGCCCAGTTTCTCCTGCATGGTTCTGCTCATTTTAGACTGTTGAAGTCAGAATTAATAGCTCATTTTCAAAATACAGGTCATCTATACCTATTAGGGAAGGGTAGTGTAGAGACAAATGCAACTATAATAAATGTGAAGTGCCAGAGATTTTCTTTGTTATGATAAATCCAAATTCTGACTTAACAAACAGCTTTGAAGGGGATCCAGGTACTCTTATCACAAAAACAGTCCATTCTATTTGAATATGGTACATCTATCACGTAGTACTGATGAACTTCTTTTTGCTTGCACGCAAGAAATTTCCGACCTAGTAAGGCCAAGCCATTGGCTCAGAGCCATTTAGAAAGGAGCCAGATTCACGTTCTAGGCCACCTCTGAAGCTGATAGCCTTTTTAACGCCCTGCTTTGTTGGTGTTTTCAGTTAAGACAAAGCCTCAGTATTGCCAGGAAACTCACCAAGAAGGACTTGGCCAACACTGTAATCAGTCAGTGGAGGGAGCTTTGGGGAGAGCAGGTTTTAGCTTCCTGGTGTCCCCTCCCTCCAATCTCACCCCTACCCATGTCACCCTCTCTCCGTAGGGAGCCTTTTGGGGCCTCATGTTTGGCCTGGGAGTGGGCCTTCTGCGCATGATCCTCGAGTTCTCTTACCCAGCCCCAGCTTGTGGTGAGGTGGACCGGAGGCCAGCCGTGCTGAAGGACTTCCACTATCTGTACTTTGCCCTGCTTCTCTGTGGGCTCACTGCAATCGTCATTGTCATCATCAGCCTCTGTACGACACCCATCCCTGAGGAAAAGGCAAGTGGTGCTCTCATGATGAGCACCCATCCACCCTACGCGCTCAGGGTCTGCAAATCCACCACTGGCCTTTACCCTCATGAACGATGGTGTCTCCTGCTGCCACATAGACATCCTTGGGAGCTGGGGCTCTTTGGAATGTGAATTTCCAAGTGAAAAGACACTCATTCAATTTAAAAATTACTCAGAGGTACACACTGTGTACCAGGCACTGTGATAGGCTTACAAAGACAGATGGTTCCTGTCAGCAATTGTCCTGGGGCAGGGAGGAACAGACTCCAGCACCCAACATTAATATGCACAGGGAAGGTGCAGGGGTACCAGGCTCAAGGGGAGGGGCCAAACTCAGGAGAGAGGTGGTCTTCACCTGGGGCCCATGAAAGGGAAAAGTAGAGGTTTATTTAATGGTCAAGAACCAAATACACAGAGGAGAAACAGAGTGTGCTGGATCAAGAGTTCTATCTTGCCTGCCTTGAGCTGACAGATGTACCCATCTTAGAATGTTGAAACCAGTCTTAGGAAGTTCCTTCCCCCAACCCAGAGTTTGAGTTAGTTTCCTAGGGCATCCACAAGTGAGGACCATAAACTGTGGCTTAAGCATCTCTGAACTCTGGAGGCTGAAAACCTGAGCCCAAAGCGTCAGGAGGCCCGGTGTGTCCAGGAGTCCCTTTTGTGTCTTCACATGATCTTTGCTGTGTCTGCCTGAGACCTAAACTCTTTTTTAAGGACACCAGTGATGACGGATTAGCGTCCATCCATATCCCCCCATTTATCTTAATTATGTTTATAGGGTTTCTATCTCTGACTGCGGTTGTGTCCTGGGGTACTAGGGACTAAGACTTCAGTAAGTGAATTTCCAAACCTTGAAGTTTGCACGCCTGCAGGCACTGCCTTCAAACGTGATCTCCTGCTGCTGAGACCTCAAGGTCTCCACGTCTGCCTTGTCATGCTGCACACTGAGGTTTCTCCTTGATCCTGTCCTCTGGTGACTGCCACCTTCTTCTCCCATCAACTGTAACCTCGGTGAAGTGCGGCCTCCATTCCCACCACTTGTCTACTTTGCAACCCACTGTGCTCTGGTGTTGTCCCCAGAAGGCCACTGAAATTGTCCTCATTGAGGTCACTTACAACTTTGGGTTGGTAAAAAATCAGTGGTCATGTCTCTTCCTCTGCCTTCCCCACTGCCTGTTGTACCGGAAGACCTCGCTTCTAGTCACTTCTAAGATGCATTTTCCTCCTGTTTGCCTTTTCCTACACTTCTGATCACTCTTCTGACTTCGCAGGCTTTTCTTTCTGCCCCCTTAAACGTCATTTTTTCTTAGGAGCCCGTATCTGCATATAACCCTTCTCGCTCTCAATGCCCTGGGGCTGCCAATTCAACAACTTTCTGTATAAAGCAACACTCAGTTCTCTATCTCCAGCCCAAATCCCTCTCCCAAGATTCAAACTCCACATCCATCTGTCTCTTAGTGACATGAAGTCAAGGTCTGTGTGATGCTACTGACTCACAGTGTGAGAAGAAAGCAGGGTTTATGGAGAGATGTGCACAAGTAAAGAAGCTGCCCAGGCTCTCACAGAGAGGCATGCCTGGCCCTGGCCTCTCTGGACACAATTGCAAGTTGGAAGTTGGGACGGGGCGGAGATGATTGTTACAAAGGCCTAGCCAGGGGAAGAGCCCACTCCTGGCCTCTGGGGAAGAGAGATGTTTCAGGGCCCAGGTGCTCACGGCTGACTCCAGTGCCACTCACATCGGCTGGAGAATTTGTGTGCTTTGTCTGCAGGGCAGACATAAAGAGAGGAAAGGGCAACCTGAGGGACACAGATTTGTTTCTCTTCACTGGATGTCTCCACTTGAAGCTGATACACCCCCTCATCGTCACCTTGTAGTTATGTGTGTAGATGTTCCCTTTCTCTTCTCTCAGCCTTTTTGATAAGCACCAGAATCTTCTTCTATGCTGAGCCTTCTGTCCCTGGGAGGGACCCTGCTATCCTCTGGTCATCCATGGCTGGAACTCAAGAGCAGCCTGAGAGGTCTCTTCCCCTCAACCCCCAGCTCATTCAATCAATCACCTCGTGCTGCAGATTTTACCTCCCTAGGATCCCTTAAGACTGCTCCTCCCACCCATTTCCTCATGCAATCTTCCTCACTTCACCTTTCCCAGAATCTCCAGCCTGGATCCCTACCCTCTGCCTAGAGAGATCTTCAAAACTTTACCTAGACTTTACGAATCCTCCTATTGATCTAAGGTCTGAGGTTTCTCTACCTGGAAGGAGTGTGGGGTTCTCTAAGTGTCAGTTCTCTACCTGACCTGCAAAGCCTGTTGTGGTCCAGTGCCTGCCTTCCTGTCCCGCCTTGTTCCTCTCTGTCCATGAGCTTCATGAGAGCAGAGCCCAGGTCTGTATTCAGCCAGTGGAGAGTGGGTACTTGAGAAGCACTCTTATTTGAAGAAAGGGACACCCACCATCTAAGATATGACTCCTGGCCTCTGACCCCAGCCTGATTCTTCATACACTTTGCTGTGGCTCTGAAGCCTCCCATGCATCGGGCCTTCCTCCACAGCAGGACTTTCTCCAAATGCACTGCTTCCAGATGGTATTTTCTCTCTCTCTCTAGCTCACTCCCTTGACCTGGTGGACACGAAACTGCCCCACCTCTGAGCTGGAGAAGGAGGCCTGCGAGAGCCAGAGCGAGAGGGAGAGTGTGCCAGGGAGGTCTGAGAGGCTGGTCCAGGAGAGCCTCTCAGGAAGAGTCGCCCCAGGGAACTGCAGCCAGGGCCCAGAGCAGCCCGGAGGTAGGCTGAGGGGTTTCTGGGGAGAGTGTGCCACAGAGGAACAGTAGGGGTGGTCACCATGTCCTGGGTGTCCCACAGTCCCTCTCAGGGGTCATTGGAGATGGAGGTCTCTGAGACAGCCCCCCAAATATTTTTCCACACGACTATTGAAATGTTTGCAAATTAAGACAGCTGAGTATGGCAGACGGGAGCCAAAATATTGCCCTCACTACCAATAACAACATGTCAGTGGGAAGGTTCATTTCACATCAACTAATGTTAGACAGAGATGCCCATCTAGTCACCCACAGATCTGACAAGAACACAGCCAGCCTCCCGTGAGGATGGGTGGGGCTGAGACAAGCCGTGTGCCTGTGGAGTTCCCTTCACACAGAAGAAAATGTCAACATGATACAGAAACAACCTCGTCCCCACCCCTACTGACTTGTTTCTTTCTCATTGGGCTTAACATTCCTGCCTGTCATCTCAAGGAGCATAGCTGTCCCCATGGGAAGAGCACAGCCAAGTGTGCCCTCCTGAAGTTGCCCAGTGCAACCCCCACTTCTCTGTGTGTCTCCTTGAAATGCTGATGGCCGTATAAATAGTCTCCCAAAGATTCTGAAATGCCTTAAGATAGCACATTAACTAAATTACTATACTGTTGGATGTCTTTTGGACACTACTCAGTTGTAATCTTCCTGTAGGGAGATTAAATAACAATATTAAGGCATTCTAAAGATAGGAGAGCATAATAGAGATTTTTCAATTATAGTGTTCCTAAGGAAAATTTTTAAATCCAAAAAGTAACATAGAGTTTACAGGTTTAAGTCCAAAATCAATTTATCTTGGCCTTATAAGTTAGAAATTCAAGGAAATTTAAATTCTACATTTCTTTCCTGCTTCAGTTAGATAGTGTCCCAGTGTCTGGTTGGAGTTGGGGTTCTCTGGACAGCTACTTTCTCCCATCATACTGGGTGAGCTGTCTATTCTCTCTCCCAGTCTTTGGAGCACCAAACTTCCCATAATTCCAGTGGGTTAGGTGGACAGACAGAGTTATGGAAGCATCTTTGCTGGACTTGCATGGTTGGCAACACTCTACCACTCTGTCCTTGTGCTTTTGCTAGTTTCTGGGACCTGTGCTGTCCCCAAGGCCTAAGGGGTTACCACTATTCTTGGAGGCCCTTACTCTAGACAGCGATAAGCCTGGCATTAATGATGTCCCAAACTCCAAAACCTCATCAGGACCTAAAGCTCAAAGCTTCTTGCTCACGCTGCAACAGTTAAGTCCATAGTCCACTATAAAAAGCTGTAGATAGCAAGTGTGAATTCTTACAAATTTGTCTGATCAAAACACACTTGGACTGACTTCGGAAAGCACACCCGTGACTGGCTCACCCCCGCTCCCAGTCTTAACAGGGCACCAAGTAGTTAAGGCCTATTTTCCTCTGCAAAATGTAGCCCTTGTCTCTTTGACAAGCTTCATGGCCCATGCGCCAGGTGTGTGTGTGTAGAGGGGGCTCAAAACTACTTCCTGCCATCACTGCAAAGACCCAGCTCTGGCCACGTCAAAGCTTGTGGAATGGGAAAAGAAGCCTGTGAGCCTGAACTTAGTACAGGAAAGCAGCTAACCGGAGAGGGAAGAATGACTTCAACATGTCTCCTGGAGACCAAGAAGAGGTAGCAACTGTACTGCCCCCCTGGAAGCCAGAGCTAGACTGACTCACAAAGACTCAGAGCACCAGCCCTCTTCTCTGCTACCCGCACTGCAGGCCAGAGCCATTCCTAGAGGAGCAGGGAAGGATGAATGCTCCCTGTGGGTAGAGGCACCCAGGGAAGGAAAAGGAGGCACCTGGAGGACCAGAACCCATGCCAAGCCTGACCAGACATCCTGCCACAAGAAAGAAGCTTTACTGGGTGGGAGTGGGCTGCCTTGTGGACCACGACAGCCACTGTTTGGCTTGGGGAAAGGGTTTTAAAGGGTTGTTCTTGGGAGGGATCTCTGCGGGTGACCCAGTTGCGAGCAGCAGAATGTGACAGAGTCATCATCAGCTACCCTCCTGGGTAGGGTTGACTTTTGAGGCTGGAACAGTTCTGAAAAGTTTCTTTTCTTGCAACCCAAGCATGAATATGCTCCGGGGGGAGGCTGACCCTTTAGCACTGAGTCAACCATAAAGCCTCAAGAAAGAATTCCACGCTCCATGTCCTTCTATCACAATCCCCATTGCAGAGGGCAAGCCTACCTGCTGTGGGAGAAGTCCTTCCCGCCCTGGAACGAAGTGAGCATCGAGAACCTGGAAGACCCATATCCACTCCTCTGGAGGCCTGCAGGTTGATATAGGTCATGCAGTCTAATTTCGAGTCTTAAAAAATTTAAAGGACAATAAATAGATCTGAAAGATATATATATATATATATATATATATATATATATATATATATCTCCTCGGTCCTAGATAGGTGCACATTTATTGAGTTGTTGCACGCTGATTTATACCTACTTGGTGATGTGGGCTCATTGCACCTCAGAGGACCACTGTGAGAATCTAGGGAGGAGGTTTGGATTGGCTTTAAAATGATAGTTCTCAGCGCAGACATCACTTGATAGAGATCTCAGGGGAGCTCTGCAGCCAAGTCACCTGAAACAGCTCTCCCCTCTTTTGTGAGCCATTCTGGACCTTGGTGCTGGACAGTCCTCGCAGAGGACGAAGTTCAGCCTGAGGGTACCCAGGCTTCCTGCGTGTCTGAAATTGTGAGGCTGCACTGAACTCACCAAGTTCCATATTTCAATGCTATTCAGATCAAATCCTCACTCTTGGCCATTGCTTTCCATCTCCATGGAAGGCACTTTCCATTCATTTTATGCTTAATACACTGTCTAACTTTAAAGTCCTTAAAAAGACTTGCTTCCTTTACTGCTTCTTTTAAACTTAGTGTTAGGAGCAGTGCTGCCTGTAGCCTTGCGGTGGCGCTCTGCACACTGGGGAGCTTTCCTCTCTGTGACACTACATTCACCAGTGCCTCCCTCTCTGCTCCCGCACTGAAAGCTGGTAAAATGCTATCAAATCTCCACTCTCCTTTGGTGCTCGGAACAGCCCTGAGAACAGGCATATGTCACTGAAGCATTTGAGGGAGAAAGAACATGTTGCTCAGAGGACTGGTGAGACTTACAGATGGGCACACAGTCTGCTGAGGTCAGAGCTGGCCCTGGAGCCACGTTTCTGACCTCTGGCACAGTGCCCAGCCCCACAGCAGGGCAAAGGTCTGGTCTGTGTGGCTTGAAGGTCCCCTGCCTCCTGAAAGAGACAATGCTCCTCCCCTCCATTGTCATTCTGGACTTAATCTCTGAATTGTGGTGAATTACACTACCCTCTCTCCCCAACACCCTGCCCTGCTCCATGCCACAATGACATGCTCCTGTGTGGTAACCATTACTATGCTGCGGCCAAGGCCAGAGCTCAGCTGGACCTGTGGTTTGTGCAAAAGGCCCTTCACACTCCCCCCTTGGTTTTTTCACCATTTCCTTCCCGCTCTCTCACCTCTTCCCTTTCCTCACTCTCTCCTCACCTCTCCCCTCCTGCTCCTCTTTTGTTTCTGGCTCTGTATCCCCAGTCTCCCGCAGGTCCTGGGGAAAGCTGCTGTGGGGTTGGCTCTGTGGGCTCTCTGGAACCCCAGCACAGGTCCTGAGCCCAGCAGAAAAGGCATCTCTGGAACAGAAGCTGACCAGCATCAAGGAAGAACCACTCTGGAGAAGCATCTGCAACATCAATGCCATCCTCCTGCTGGCCATCAACATCTTTCTCTGGGGCTATTTTGCATGACTCCACAGACTCAGCTTCAGCCAAAACCAGCTAAACACAGCGCAAGCCCAGTCGGGTGCAGAGACAGGCTCTCTTCCTACCCTGCCCTGAACTGGAGACCATGGAGGCTGAGCATGGCAGAGATCCATGGAGCGTTAATCTGACATGTTCCACAAGTGGAGAATACAAGGCCCAGAGAGAATTCTGGGTCTGCGCAAGGCCACAGAGCAGCGCTCATTCTGGGCCTCCCAACTCGGGATCCTATACCACTACACTGCCTTACGTTCTTACCTCGTAAAGAGCTTCAACCCTCTTCCTGAGTTTATTCAGGAATCTTTACTGTACATGTGACTTGAGGTTAGAAAAATGGAGGATACAAGAAAGATAACAGGAAAAAAATTTGTGAAACTCCAAGTGCACCTTTCTCCTCCACCTCCCCTAACCTCTCTTTCTCTAATTTTCAGCCCCAGGTAATCTATAGCATGAATCTACCAAGGACAGACTTACATTTCCATCGGTGGCTCTGTCAGAGCTGTTAGACCAAAAAGAATGAGGGTCAAGGGTGGCACTGCAGGGTGATGGCAGGTGGCATTTAGAGCAGGCAGCTCTTGGACAAGGCACTCTGATGGGCACTATTTAAACGTTGCTTCTTCCTACCTTCAAACCCAAACCTGTGTCAAGTCTCCATGAGGAATCTAACAGTCCAGTTGAGAGCCATAACTGTGGAAAGGAAGAGGACTCAAAGCCTTGAAGGTCAACCCTGCAGGGTCAACAAGGACAGCTTCAGAGCCACAGCGTGGGGTGCTTTGCCACTCCTTTTGTCACCCAAACCTCTGCCACCCTGGAATACACTGAAACCCATCTAAGTATTGGACAGGAAGGTGCCCAGCCAGGAAGCTGTCCAGTGCCCCAAACTGGGTTAGGGTCCCACTCTTGTTCGCATAGCCCCATGGAACAGCTTCTACAAGGTACTGGTCATACCAGCAGCTGTGTTTTCTCCCCCTAGATGGTGTACTCCAAGGAACAGGCACCAACTACTATGTCCAACTTGACTATGTTTCCCAAAATAATATATACCAATAAATGTTTGTTGAATGAATAAATTGTTCAGTGTCCTTTTGTGTTTTGCACTGTGGCTGGCAGGGCAGACCTAGACCTGCTCAGGAGTCACTGGAAGGTGGAGAAGAAATATCTGAGTGTCAAGTGTCTAAGCTGTCACTACAGCCCGGGCCCTCTGGCAGACCCAGATGGAAATGGTTCTCCATTCCTTGAGCTCAGTGGGCTTGCTCAGTTAAAGGCGCAGGCAGTGGGGCGGGGGGTTCCTATAAGCCTTTTGTTCATTTTCTCCTAATAGAATATGAAAGCTTTGGACCATCACTCAGTGTGGGCTGCGCATATGTTTTAAAGTCACATGTATCTGATGAAGAGAACCCCAGAGCCGCCTATGCTAGTGCGTTCCCTCCATTCCTCTTGGTTCATTGCAGAGCCGCTCTGATGAGGTCTCCCTGGGGAGCAGGCTGATGAGCCCTATGCTTCCCCATCGCCCAAGCTCAGACCTCTGACCCCATGCAGCCTCACCCCACTGGGCCACAGGGACTGCAGGCACCACTGAGCACTCTTCCCTCTTATTGGCCACACTTGCCCATGTCCACCGTTTCCAACCAAGGAACTTGAAAATAACTCAAAGGAATCATTTGACCCCAGATTATGAGCTCACTCTTTACTAAACTGTTTCCTTCTTAAAGGAATAAGTCACAAAACAGGAAGCTGCCTCAGGAAACATGAATTTGCCTCGGAGAAGTGTAGGAAGACTAATATCATGGGTAATTTTAAGAAACCCTCACATTTATCTTATGAAAGAGAATTTCCACATCCGTTTTCTCATTTGGTTTTCCACACCACTCAAAGATGTTAAATACCATACTAATGAAGAAAAGAACCCAGAGGTGAAAGGATTTGCTCAGATGCTGTCACATTGGAGCCCAACTGGTCCTCAAACTCAGACCTCTGACCCCATGCAGCCCCACCCCACTGCATTGCTCATGTGAGCAGCACGCTTTGCTGCTGGATTCAAATGCTTTGCTTTCCCAGCTTAGGGAGTAACATGAAAGTCAACGATAGCTCCAATAGAGCTCAGCCAACAAAGTAAAGCAAGAAACTAAGGAAATGATTGCAAAGCATTGCAGTGAAGACTGAAACTGAAGGAAGAAATACACCTACTTAAGGAAAAAGGAGAAAGAGATGAAGAATTACCTGGTGTAATTGGAGACTAATTCATGAAAAAGAAGTGCACATTAAATTTTGACATTTATTCTATTTTTGAACAGAGTTAAACAAAATGAATTCTAAACCAACAAACAACCAACACCCCAGAAAAACAACAGCAAAACAGTACAAAGCAAGACATGTAGCTGAGAAAAAGCCACTGGGAAAGCCTCTCATGGGACAGTGACAAGGACCAGAAGGAACATCTCAGGCCCCACACTGAGCTGAGGATGAGGCCATGCTTGCAGAAGAGGCTGTGCCTAGAGGTGCTGGATCCCTTCTCCCACACAGCTCCTGGCTTCCTGCCTGCAAATGCATCTTGCAAACAGTCAGACTCCCTCAGAGGTAGTGGCAGCTGGCCCTGAGCTGGATTCAAATGGAGGTGAGTGGGCAGAGGATGCAACCACAGCACAGAGAGCAGGAAAGAGTGGGGTCAGGTCTCCAGACTTTCCAAGATGGACTAAACCTGTAAGTGATGCAGATGAGGGTACACTGACCTGAGGGTGGAGAGAAAGGAAAACACAATCAGAAGAAACAGGAGGAATTCCTTCTATTTCAGTCACCCATCATGGTCCAGGAGGCACAGGGAAAGGACAGAGCTCTTAGCAAAAGCGACCACAGCAACAGGAGTCCACAGGCATTTGCTACTGTAATAGGCCAGTAAGAGGTGCCACGTAGGCACTGCCCTGCTGGAGGTCGGGAGTTTTAGGTGTACTAGGAGCTGGTGAAGCCCAGTGTTCTTCTAGATTGTCCTTGGAAACAGTGTCTCATTTCCTGCACTGCTTCTGTGCCTGTGACTCAGAGGTCCCCTGGCCAGGCTGGGGAAACACAGGGTGCTGCTGCACAGGGAGAGAAGTGGCTCAATGCACCCAGGGAATGGTGTGGTCACACCTGTCCTGGGTCCTGCTGCTGCTCCTCCCTAGGTCCCCCTGTCTCAGTGAGGTGGGATCTTTCCCAGGTCCACAGGTAACTGGGCAAAGTTTTAGTGGTGAGCCCTGCCATGGTCATGGCAGGGTGTCCAGTAAAACACTTCGGTGGGTTTCCTCCTGGACCCTCACTGCACACTTCTCAATGAAGTTCCACAGACGCCCTCTTCCAGCTACAAGCCAGCTTCCACATGTGGAAGGGCTCTGTGGTCATCTAAGAGCACAGCTGAGGCTCTGCACCTCTTCTGTAGAACCAAATCCCTCCTGAACATGTGCTTTCTTTCCTCCTCCAGTTTGCCTGTGTGCACTGCACACTGGGAGTGGGCCCAGCTGGGCCTCAGGGCTTAAGGAGCTCCACATGCCAGGACCTTTGCTGTGTTATCATCCAGGCAAGGAAGGGCACTGCTGACTATGTCACAGGCCAGGAAAACGGCCCTCAAGAGAGAGGGGCTCTGCAGGGATGCAGGGTGCTGCCTTCCCAGTGCAAAGCCAGTCTTGTGCCAGGTGGACAGGGCCCTGCCGGTCAGCACTCAAGAGTCCCCATCACCTGGGCACTTCCTCAGTCCCTTCCTCCAGCAGGTATGTAGAGTCCTCCCCACGGGACCAGGGGCTCTGCCAGGGGTTCTGGGCTGCTGCTGGAGAGAGCCTCTGGGAGCACAGCACAGTGTGAGGACTTAGCTCCACTAGATGTTCACTTAAAATAGAGGGACAGTTCTATTTTATGTTACAATAAAATTTTATTAATGTTTAACAGAAAATAACTACAGATAAATGAAACCAGGAAAAAAAAAACAAAAGGCAACATTTCCAGGGGAGGGAGGGAGACTTGCCATTGAAGTCCTGCAAGGTGAGGTGGTCTAAATTGTCCTGCAATTGTCCTGATCCCTGGTTGGGATCAGCCACTAGAGGGGAGAGAGAGGGAGAGTCAGGTCAGGCTGGCCAGTTTCTGCCTGTCCGGCTCTGCTCACACCATCCCCCATAGCTCCACTCCCGGTCCCTTCCAATGGGCGCCTCTGTGGAAACAGTTGTGGCCCTAGAAGTGGCAGGAGAGCGACAGGACAGAAAATTCCTGGGAGACCACTCTTGTTTGTGCCTTTCCCAAGGTACAGCGGCCCACTTCCTGCCAGAGAAGCCCCAGGCACTGACCCAAAGCAAGACCCCGTCCCAACCCTTGTCCAGCCCCATCGGTGGTCCCATCCTCTTCCTTTGCCCCTGGCCAGTAGCAGCCTCTGGAAACTCCTCCTGATGGAACCAGCATGACTTTGCTGCACTCTCACCACCCACAGTCACTAACCCCAGCCTCCTACTCACCTCTGGAAGGGATCCCTCTTAGCAAACTCTAAGTTAGGCCTAAGTCTGCCCACTTGCAGGATGATGTCTGAATCTGGAAGGTTCAGTAGGGCATAGTCCATGAGCTGCTTGAGGCTGGCCATGTCTGGGCACTGGCAAAAGTCTTCTGGGTACTGGAGAAGCCAGGTCTCCAGGATGGAACTCAGAGCCCTAGGGCAGGTGGGCAGGAGTGTCAAGAGCCTGGCCTCTCCCCTGTCCTAGGCCCCTGTCATAGAGCCTGATGGGAGCACTGTTCGCCATAGCCCACCCTGCCAGCCAGAAGCTGGGCATAGAGGGAAGAGGTGTAGGGACCACATGTGAGTCTTCTGTGTCCCACAACTCCTAGGCAGCCTCCATCCTGCATGCCGAGGTTTCTCTGGGTTGAGAATGGACTGCATGAAGGTGTATCCTCACAGGGACCTGCTGTGCACACAGATGCATCCTCACAAAGACCTACTCTGTCCCCAGACCAACCCTGAGGGCCTCCTTCATGCACAGAACCCTAAGCACAGATGTCTGTTTTGCAGCACCTGGAGGCCCAGCCTCAGATCCAAGCCCTCTAGTGGGAATCAATGAACACTGAGGGACCCTGGTTTTTCTCAGCTCGCCCACACCCCAGTTCCTCTGCAACCCACTTTGGGGACAGGATTCTTCCATCCCTCTTAGCCCAATGGCCTCTCACCTCTTATTCTGCTCGTCCTCCTCAGAGTCCGGGAGGAAGGAGGGGTACCTAGAAGAGACAGCAGAGTGTGACCTTTGAACACTCACTGTCCTGGCCTCCCAGGAGGTCTAGGGGAGTATGAGACTGTGTGATGGCAAAAGAGGCTGGGAAGCCTGAGAGGTCCCTCTGCGCTGCTCCCTGAATGACAGAGAAACCTCAGGAAAGCTACCCGTACACAGTAGGTGCTGTGTAGACATCTGTGCTGTGGGTGATCCAGCCAGTTGTGCCCACATCTCAAGACTGCACCTGGGTGCTGAGACCCGCTTAAAGGTCCCCGCTCTGTGTTCCTCTAGGCAGGAACCTAGGAAAATCAAGTTCCATCTAGACAGTTCCTTCAAGGGGCGGATTGGGGATACCTTACAGATCCAGGACCCCATCTCTTACCCAGAGCCGGACCTAGGTTTACTGTTCTGGGGCCCCACCTATTTGGTTGAATAAACCATGTGAACAGGAGTCCTCTGAGTAAAGCATTATCCTCAGGGAATATTAGGGTGCAAAACGTTTCAGGGGGTCCATCCCCAAGAGCTTCCCAATGGTCCAGGGCCCCATGACTTGGAGGTGGAGCACACCTGAGGAACAGCAGATCTAGCACCTGCTGCGGGGTGGCGAATCTCCTGTAGATGGCCAGGAAGGCAGGCACGAAGAAGGTGTCCCCGCGCAGATGGGCGGGCACCAAGTTGTTCACCAGCTTCTTCAGCATGTCTGGCTCCATGCTCCCCACCTTGCCAGCATCCTCCAGCTTTGGGCTGGACTTCTTTGAGTCCTGAGGTGACAGTGAGAATGGAGTGTTCAGGCTTGGAAACACTAGCCAGCTCTAAAGAGCTCAGCCCCCATGTGGATCAGCTGCCAAAGGCGTTTCACA